GGAAGGGGCTGTGTTTGAGGGAGTAGAGTTGTTCAATCTAGGGTGATCTCCTCATTTGGGTAAGGCATGCAAAGTTGGCCTGGCGGGGTGAGCCTGCATTTGCGTCAGCCCTGAGTCAGCCTCCCCTGTGAGTCGGCTTCTCATCCACATGTTGCCTTTGCTGACAGTACCCCCTGCCTGGGTAGGGAGCAGGGAGAACCAAGCACCCTGAGCCCTGACCCAAGGGGCCCCCAGCTGGCCTGGGCTCAACTCTTTGGCTCTGTGGTTTCAGATTGGAAGAGGCCTCCCTGCAGTGGCTGAAGGAGCTAAAGTCCAAGAAGAGGCAGAGCCTGTATGAGAATCAAGCTTGATAAGGTACCAAGGCCCTGGGAGTGGGGCCTGGAGGGATCCTAGAGCCGGGGCCCAGAAGGCCCTGTGGCACCTGTCAGAGAGATCATTAGCAAGAGGCAAAGATTTAGGGACTGATTCTTCTGCCCGTGTGAAAGAAGGCTGTAGGAAGGGGCCAGTGAGGTGGGTGGCCCTCTGTTTCCATTTAGGGGACCCAAACTCAATAGAGCTGGACAACTTGAGGTTGCTGTGTCCCGTCAAGCCAGTTCTGTGATTTACAAAGACTCGTTATGTACCACAGAACCCAATGCTGCCCAGCCCTGCACCATCCTCACCATGATCATGATGTCAGAGTCCATGGTGGCAGCTGTTGTGTCCATCCATCTCATCGAGGGTCTGCCTCTCTTTTCCCTGATCCTCTGCTTGACCAAGCACAATGTCCTCCTCCAGGGACTGGCCCTTCCTGACAACACGTGACACTAAGTCTCGCCACCCTCTCTTCTAAGGAGCATTCTGGCTGACCTTCTTCCCAGACAGTCCAGGGTACCTTTCCACATTCAAAATTGGGTCAAAGGCATCCATTCAGCTCCCTTCTTCCGTATTCATGGTCCAGCTCTCACATGCCTGTAGTAGCAAAATGGGTAAGTGCTGGGCTGCTAATGGAAAGGATGGCGGTTCAAATTCACCTGACACACTAAAGAAAAAAGACATGGCAGGTAGCTCCTGGAGCCCTGGGGAGCCGTGGGGTCATTATGAGATGGTCTTCATGCAAGGCAGCTTGGGGTGGGTGAAAGGTGCCCCGGGAGGGAGAACCAGTCTTCTGGTATAGCGGAGCCCTGGTGGCGCAGCAGTGGGGCACTTGGTTGCTGACTAGAAGGTTTGTGGTTGGAATCCACCAGCTGCTCTGTGGGAGAAAGATGGGCTTTCTGCCCCCGTCAAGAGTGACAGTCTCGGAAATGTACAGGGTGGTGCCACTCTGTTTGGTGGGGGTGCTAGGAAGTGGCATGGACTTGATGGCAGTGAGTGAGTGAGTTTGTTTGTTTACTATGCCCATACATGGATTAATCTCATTTGTGCCTCCAGAAAGCCTTTTGGGGAAACTGAGGCTCAAAATGGGGACTGAAACCTTGAGTGTCATGGTCATCCTTGACTTAGGCTCCCCAAACCTTGTTCACCCCACACTCAAAAAAAAAAAAAAATCTTTCCTGTTGGGTTTTTTCATGTCAGATAGGCCTGTCTCAAGATAGGGAGCCACATGTTCCCACTGTTGACTTCAGAACTCTCTCTCTTGTCCAGGTCAGGGACATCGCCCTCACCTAATCCACAGAAGCCTTAACTGTTGGACCCTGAAGATGATACCATGCATCAGTCCCTTCCTGCATACTGGTCGTGTGCTGGGGCCTACTGGCAGGGTGGAGGCCACTGTCCAGTGTCCCCCGCCCCCCACAGGAGCAGGGGAAGAGGACACTGTTCTGCAGCACAGCTTCAGGCCGGAATAAAGCCCCGTTGCCAGAAATGGCCCTGATGGAGATGTGGGTTTGGGGTACAGTGATGGGCATTTCAATTCCACACTCCAACACCTTCACCGGCTGCAGGACCTGTGGGAAGCCAAGCGTTTTCCTGGGTTCTTTTAAAGATACCCCTTCTTACCTACCCCACCCACACCCCCACTCCAGGACTGGCCTTTCTTGGAAGGATGGTTCCCTAAGCCCCTCTCCGCCCGTGCATGGGCACACCCGATTGCTAAGCACCCCTCCTTCTGCTGGGCATGGCCATCCTCACCAAGGCCTGTCTACTTCGCTGTGTCCATCTCCTTGGCTTGTCTCAGAAGGCCACAAAACCCAGCCCATGTGCTTGAATTCGTGACACTGTTTTGCTGTTCAGCAATGGCAGGAGAGAGGGATGTGTGTGTGTGTGTGTGTGTGTGTTGTTGTTGTTGTTGTTGTTTTGAGGCCTCTAGTCTCCCAGATGGTCCAGCTTTTAACCCATGGTTTGACTGGACCCTAGAGAGCAGACCTCCACCTCTACCACTCACATGCTCAACCCTTCCACCCTGCCCCCTCCGAGAATGGCTCTTGTTCTTCAGCTCTGTTCTGGGCACCACCTGGGCTGCTGGTGAAGAGGGTCTTCATGTGAGTGGACGCATCCATGGGGGACTTTGTTTCATTTCCTCTCTCCCACCCCAGCTCCACCCAACCAAATGCTTCTCTATCCCCCACCCACCAACTCCACCCAACCAAATGCTTCTCTATCCCCC